CCCCGGCCCGAGTGGCCCCAGGGCCCCGTCCCTCCCGGCAGCTTGGGCTTGGCGGGCGCTTGCCGCCCGCCGCGATGCTCCCTGTGGCTCCGGCAGCGCGCGGGTTTTGGGTGCTTGTTGGAAACCCACCTCGGTCATCCGCAAAACCTGCCTGTGACTCGAGAAACCTCCAGTCCCGCCGTAGCTGCAGGGTGCGGGTTCTGCCCATGGCCCTTTCTGAAGCATAAATCCCGTTGTTTGCCTTTCGCAGCTGCTCTGAGCTTCTTCTAAAGGTGGAAAAAGTGTTTGTATTAGATTGCAAATATGCCAGTTATCCCATGCGTGGGCAGCAGGGAGAACTGGCTATCTAAATCCAAAGGAAAATGGTTTCTTCCCTGCAAACGCAAGAGGTGGAAGCTGTCCCCTTGGTTTCACTTCTCCTTTGTGCTTTTTACCTTCAGAGCGTGCTACCCTAGCCCAGGAGCATCCTTGCCAGGCATGGCCACCAAGGGCAGCGGCGGGATTGGGAGCCCCTTGGAGTGATGGCATTCACAGGCTCATTTCAGGGCGGCATGTATGTGGCTGATAGTTTTCCTGTGCGTTCATTTTCTTGCTCTGATTTCAGCATTCTCAGTAAATTGCTATGGTGTCCGACGCTTTCAGGAGTCTGTCGCTAGGAGGTTTTCTTTTCGGTGTGCGTAGTGGTCTGTTTTCCTTGCAGAGGCTGTTCATAAGGGAGATGATCGAGGTCAGGAGGGGCGAGAACGAGGCGGAACCCCATTTAAAGCTGCTACAAGATTTCACACAGGTGCACGAGGCGGTTTGGGGCTGGCACCTCGGGTCGTGGAGAGGTGTCCGTGACAGTGACCCTGGCGCTGGGCACCCCGCGAGCCTGCTGCACTGCTGCCTTTCCCCACTTAAACAATATATGAAACCGTACATGAGCGCAAGCAGTTGAGCCCCGTGAATCCGGAGTGATGCGGAGCAGCGCCGGAGCGGTGCCTCCCCCGCCAGCCCTGCTGCCTTCCAGAGATCACAGAGCTTTAGGAATTTGCACAGCGCGGAGCGCGCGCGAGGCCGGCGGCCCCGCGTCCCGCTGGGGGTCCCGGCCGGGGACAGCCGTGACGCTGGAGCAGGGGACGTCCGAGGGGGCGCGCGGGTCCCTCGGGAGCTCCGCTCCTAATCCCGTTACAGGAACACGAGTCACAACCTGTGCTTTCCCCGGGGGATGCTGATCCGTGTTTATCTCGACTGTTAACCGGAAAGCTTCGTATAATGCGTCCAGAGCTCTAAAGCCATTTTGTAAGATAGCGGTATCCCTTTTCTACAGCCTTATTGATGAGTAGGGTATCTTTAAAAAGAAAAAAAAAATCATTTCTGTGGTATGAAAACTTGTGTACTGCGAACATATGAACGTTTAGGAAAAACACAACTTACTGTTTTATTATAAAAAAAAAAACAAAAAAAAACTGTCTGCTTTCCATACGGTCTTTCCTCAGGTGCTAAATAAGGGTTCCAAAAATGGATACTGCTTTAGGAGTTTCTGCTTTATTCTTAAAATACATATTTTTTTGCTTAGGTGTTGTAAAGATATTTTAACAAGAATGTTTTTTTAATGTAAATAAGATTATGCGTCTTTAATTTTGTTTTATCTCCTTTTTGTCTATATTAAATAGTCTAATTTCATTTTATCCTTTTGAGAAGGACCCTCTTATGACCTTCCTTGAAGACATTTCATTGAGTGTTGCTGCATTTAAGAATGAATCTACAACTGTTCATGTCTTGGATTAATGCTGCTGCTGCTATAAGTAACCCTGAAAATCAAGAATGTGTGATGCACTTTTTTTTTTCTTTTTTTTTTTTCCTTTTTTCATGACCATGGAGTCGCTCTGAGGATAGTGGAACCCTCCTGTAACGCAGCCGCTAGCCGTGCGGGTCGCCGGGTGTGCGCGGGGGACGGGGCTTTGGTGCTGACCCACGAGAACTTCTATGCAAACGCAAGCAAAGGAGAGCTCCTAACTCGAGAGAACACTGTGCATTTCCTTCCTCTCCTTCCTTTTCTCTAGCTGCTATTGGAAAGGTAGTGCGAATCCCCGAGGTTCTCGGCTTCTCCTTCCCTGACGGATGCAGGGAAGAGGCCTGAGTACTTGTAAGCTCAAAAGGATCTTGATGCAGCATCGCTTGGCTGCGGTTCTGATGTTCTGGGTTCTGTTCGAGTACGTCTTTGGTAGGAAGTTGCTCATCCCTGAGAGAAAGAAAAAAAATATATATATATATATATATCATTCTAATGCTTTATCTCAATGTGAAATTAATGGGGATTAACCTGCAGTATTAAAAATGGCATGACCTTCCTATCCAGTTGTAATTCCATGTTCCCAACGTGGGGTCGGAATCTCGAGCCAGCAGCGTGTCCCGCTGCTCCAGCATGGGCCTTGTGGCACACATGGGCCGATTGCAGCGGGAGTTTACATACTGAGGAAGGGGTTCCTGGAGAAAATAAAGGGAATTTACTTGATGTTTTATTTATAGAAGATCCTTTAAAATATATATATATCTTTTGTAAAGTGAGGGAAGAGTAAGGGAGGTCTAAAGTCTAATACTTCGGGATTACAACTGCCTGGAAAATAGTGTATAGAGTCTGGAATTCTCTGCCTATTTAGTTTATCCAGCATCGTTTTCTGAGCAGCGTTTGCTTTTCTTCCACGCGTGCGTGTGTGTGTGCGTACGAATCAACGTGCCTTGCGTGTGTGCTTGAGCAGGACGTGGGGCCGGCGAGCGGCCGCGGGACCCGGCGCTGGGGACGGTGCCGGGGGTCTCGGTGACCCCGGTCCTGCCGTTGGCGCCGTCTTACAGCGTGGGGGGAATGTCCTACGGGATGGCACCTTTCCTTTCTTCACACGACCCGTTTTCTGACGTTTTTGAGGGGAGAACCTGCTTTGCTGTTCTCCTGCAGGCAAAGATGAGCGTTGCCTGCGGAACAAGTGAAGGTCTGGAACCGGCTGTACTCTGGAATTAGTTCTCTGCAGAGGCTGGGAATTCCATTATCCTGGGGATTTATTCCCTTCCAGCTTGTGGTTCTTGTTACTGTGGCTTTTTTTTTTTTTAATTAAGGAAAAAAAAGTAAACATGCCTTGCTTAAAGTTAACAGAATAGAAATGCTTATGTTTGCAGTCAGTGACTCAGAATATGAAACTGTGCAATTCTTGTTCCTTCATCTCTCTCTCATTTGCCCTAATGTGTGATTTCTGTTAGTCTTTCTGTACTTCTGCCACTGTAAATGTGAAAGCTTGCTTGCATTATTTTTTAGAAATGCATTTTGCACACTCGGGTTTCGCTGAAGCTCCGTGAAAAGGTTAGTTTGAAGCAGATGAATAAAGCTATGCACATGTTTTGAAAGTTTAATTTGTGTCTCATTACCAGAAGTGACTTATCTGCCCTCTTTTGCATTCCCGTGCTGTCGTTGCCTACATTAGCTGACCATCTTGGAGGGTGCGATGTACGGTGACAGTTCTTTGCTGACAGCTGTAGCAGAAAACTGGCGCTTCTTGATTTTTTTAGTAGCCTCTCTCCTTTGCTTTCTCTGTATTTCTCTCCGTACATCTATATAAATATATATATTATTTTTTTTATTTTAAAGAGCCTACTTTCCTGATGGAATGGGAGGGGGAGGAGGTGTGCCGGCTTGCGTTTCGGATGCGCTTCCTGCTGCCCGTTTTCCGCTCGCGCTGGGTGCCCGTGGCGAGCGGAGGGGACGCGGGGACGCGAGCGCCGCCTCTTCTGCCCTCTCGTCCCGGCTCGAAGCGGCTCCGAGCAGCGGGGGGACCCCTTTTCAGGCCGCTGGTGCAG